TATATATATGTATATATATATATATATATATATATATATATATATATATATATATATATATATATATATATATATATATATATATATATATATATATATATATATATATATATATATATATATATATATATATATATATATATATATATATATATATATATATATATATATATATATATATATATATATATATATATATATGTATATACATATATATATATATATATTCGTATACATATACATAGACAGATACATATGCATATTCATGTGCAAATATATATTCGAAGACTATATATGTACACGAATGTCGACATGTACATACACATCCACGCATACATCTACATATCCATACATACACATACACGTATATATATGTCTACAAACAAACAAAAAATGTATAAAATTACATTTCTTTTTAAATTGAAATTAAAAAATCTCCCCACCCGAAATCGAATCAGGGACCTACCGATTGATGTATCCTCTACAGTCGGTTGCTCTACCAACTGAGCTATAGAGAGTATGAAATGCAAATTTATTTTAGTACTATATAGTGAATTGTTTAATTGATTAATTTCAGTCATTTTATATTGCAGACGTATTTGTATGTGCGACGTAGACCGGCTGGGTGAAGAACATCCTTTGCGATACTGTACGCCGAGCTGTGCGTTATTCATATCATCAACTTTACCTTCGTGCATAGCTTTTAAACTTCGCTCGACGGATGCATCGCCTCCACTCTCTGCCAGCATATTGCAAAGGCTTTGTGACCCTATGCCCGTTCATTTCCAGTAGTCAGATTGTAATAAATGTGCGGCGAAGAGTTTTGTTATATCGAAACGAATCTGTGCGATGGTTTGCAAACATACTCGTTGATTCGCTGTCAAGCTATGCGGATCTCGAACTAAAAAATCGATTGCACATTATCCTTAGTGCACTGATCACCAAACAAGATTGAAGCAGAGCCCGTGCGCAATTTTTTGTCGATCATTAACTGGTCGAATCCAAGCACAATATAATCAGAGTCGAAAGCTATTATATATTGTATATTGCCGTGAAACTATAGCGGTGCTAACTGTTGCTCTGCCACCATCGGGGAGACTAAATATTAAATATGCATTTCGGTACATACTAGCATAAATCTCTCAGCCGCGTCTATATTGTACGCTCCCACCGCACCCGAGCACTCTTAGGCCACGTCGCAGTTCTTTTCACCGATCAACTCCTTCTTGAAAGGAAATACTCCTTGTAGATGCTCCTTTGTTTTTAGACTGCAGTCCTCGCTTGTTAACTTATCATTAACCCTGTAGCCGTCAAACACAACAAGCGCTCTGCATTTACCATTATCCGTACTTTTTACTTTTGTATGCGACGATGAACATGCTATAGGAAACCCACATAACTACCTTCTAGAACAATCTCCGATGCGTGTGCACGCATGTGCATATGTACAACGAAAAGTCCATTAATCCTTACAATACCGGAGAGTCTAGAGACAGATATTGTGCACAGTAAGGGTTCAACTTAGGGGAAGAGTCCGGTAATACTATATGAACGAGTTGTTTGTGCATGCTTTATGGTGCACTTTTGTGTTTTTGTGTTTCGGTGGCTTTTCTAGTGATCACTGGTATATGAGTCATCAATTTTAAAAATAGGTTTCTACCTTGTAGGCGCTATTATTTGGTTGTTTTGGGCTAATTATGGAGAGACAAGAACTAATTATGGACACTCAAGATCTGATTATGAAGTCACAAATAAATAAGGAAACACAAGAAATAATTGTTGACAAGCAAGAACCAAGTATGGACACTCAAGAACTAATTAAAGAGACTCAAGAACGAATTATAGACACTCAAGAACAAATTATGAACACTCTAGAACTAATTCTGAACATTCCAGAACTAATTCTGATACAGTATTCGCTACACAACTCCTCTTAATCTGAGATCGTCCGCTCGATCAGGCTGGGGAGCTATCGCGCACTATAGATAGAAGTAGGGCGAGTAGTAGCAAGCGCGTGCGGGACGTCCGTTGGATCTCTGCCATACAAGCCACTTCTGGTTGGCTTTGTAATTCTGACTAAGACGAGAGAGAGAAAACAGGCCCAAGGCAACAACTGTATACGGCATATGTGAGGTGCACAGTGTTAAATTAGACCTCAATAGAAATTCGAGTGTTATACTGACCGGCGGAGAGGGTGCTCGTGCAGCATCAAGTGTCACATGATGAGAGTGTAATCTACAGATAAGATGATGATCTCATAAAAATCCATGTCTCCCACGTGTTGATTCTACACTTGAGTTTATTCAGAGTAAACCGTGTCTGGTAGGCAGGTAGACTGCCTGATTTATGACAATTAGGTAGGTGCCTGATTTATGACAGGCAGGTAGACTGCCTAATTTATGACAGGTAGGTAGACTGCCTAATTTATGACAATTAGGTAGGTGCCTGATTTATGACAGGCAGGTAGACTGCCTAATTTATGACAAATAGGTAGGTGCCTGATTTATGACAGGCAGGTAGACTGCCTAATTTATGACAGGTAGGTAGACTGCCTGATTTATGACGGGTAGGTAGACTGCCTGATTTATGACAGGTAGGTAGACTGCCTGATTTATGACGGGTAGGTAGACTGCCTGATTTATGACGGTAGGGTTACAGGTCACCCCCTAAGTTTGTGCTTGGTCTTGGTATTGCTGTGCTTGTTGAGCGAGTTCCTGCGTGGACAAAATAAACGACATAGAGTGTTTAGAACAGAATTGTGTCTTGATGTCACGCCACCTGTGCTGTTCCTATTGGCGAATACCCTCGATCTCAAGTGGCTTTGGAAGTATTCCGAACTTAAACAGGTGATTGCAAATAGACGTTGAACGGGATATACATCTAACTTACCATTCGCGCAACACCGGCTTGGTAGATTTCTCTGTACCACAGCTCGACGTCTGCAACGGATCCAGCCTTCAACTATGGAATATCAAAAAGAAGTTAAGTGTCAGATGTGAAGTGTGCTAGGTCAATGGAGTACATAAAAATAAA